TGTAATACAATGGGAGGGCAAGTAATTTGCTTTCATATGGAACTGAAGCTCTTCCTGGATAGGAAGTATATTGCCCAGACATTTGCTTGTTTTCCATGTTGGTGGTGGTAACTAGAAACCTCAGCTAATTGAAAGAGCCTGGAACCTTTCTGAATTGTTCTCAAATTAGAATCTTTAATGGTTTCTTTCTTTGTCTGTAATGCTTAAAATAGTATAGTTATGGCTGAGAATTTGAAGTGTGTTGCTATTCTATTCTATTTTTTTTTTTTTTTTTTTGGAAGAGTCGTAATGTTATGTTTTATGTAGCTTCTAATTGGGCTGCAAACCTTTTAAATCTTGAATAATAAATAAACTTAATCAGACTTTAAAACTGTTTTGTTTTCTTTTTCCTCATTCCTTCAATCCTTCAGACCAGAGGAGACCAACAGAAGAGTGAAAAACGTAAGACACTTTACTTCAATGCTATTTGAAACAATTTCTCACTAATTTTGATTAAATATATTTTTAAAATATTTCTGATGTTTCTGTTTATGGTATTATTATGCTTATTCTGTTCTTCAGCTGTTCATTCAAATTAGTGCCACATTATGGTCATTTCTATGGGTCTTAATTTTCCAAATAAATACAGTAATTAAACAGCACTTGCACATGATTACTTGCATTATGCTGTATATAGTGCAAGACTTTAAATGGTTTTGATGGAAATTCTAGGAAACACTGTAGACAAGATTTTTATATTTAAATGTGGAAAATTTCTCAGTAACACGGAGAGATGCTTTAATGCTTGTTGAGAAGGAAGCAAGAGAACTTCATATTTCATTTGTTTATTTTATGTTCCTAGGTTTTGATTACATTATATTGGCTGGGGAGAAAAGCACAAAGTAACCCTCACTATAATGGTCCATATCTCAATCTTAAAGCATTTGAGAAGTTATTAGGGCAAGCATTGACTAAGGTAAGGAAAATAGTAGAAGTAGTAAATAAATACTCCAATTTCATACTTTGCAACTCTTTACAACTCAAAATAATCTCTTGGTGTTTTAATCTTAGTCTTAATTTGGGAACTACTATCACAATGTTTTTTGTTTGCTGTCAAAGGCTATTGTAGAAAGAATGAGTTTTAGCTTACCCTGGTTCTTCTGATACCAATGTACTCAAGAAATTCAGAGCCCATCCCCTGCGATTGATTGGTAGATTGTGAATAAGCCTTGTCTTGATTCTGTTTGGCTGAAATGAGAGAAATTTAAGAATTTGTTTTAACTCACCTATTCAAGCTTTTCTATTTTTCAGGGATTGACGTTGGTAAGTTTGTTAGTGCAGTCAAGCCACATTTTTAAAATTTTTGAGTGCAAATTCACTAATAATATTCTGCCTTAAACTATTATGAAGGATCTTTCAAAATTTACTCCCATAGGCACTTGAAGAGTCCAGCCACCTAAACAGAAGTGGCAGGGATAGTGGGTACGGTGATATTTGGTACGTGGACCGAGGAGAACCTTTTCCATCTTCAGCAAGCCACAAAAGAGACGATTCTTTTGATAGCTTGGACTCTCTTGGCTCAAGATCCTCCACAAGCTTTTCATCAGACATAACCTTGAAAGGTGGCAGTGAAGGTATGTTTTCCTCTTTTAAATCTTTTATAAACACATCTTATGAGAGTGTTAAAAGACAGTGGCTGGATCTAGTATTACAGGTGCCCAGTACTTGGAAGGCAACTCTGATTTTGCAACTGCCATGGGTTGTGTTTTCCTAAAGCAAATATTGACCTTTAACAGTTGATAGAAGTAAAGCAATGCCCACAGGAATGTTACTAGGAAGGGCTGTTAATAGTCGTGCTTCCACTGTCACATCAGGATGTATGTCCATATGGGATATTTTCCTGTAGTTCAGGGCGGGTAGTTGAAAGAATTCAGATCCTGGTGAGTTCACCTAAAACTGCAACAGTTTCAAAAATTTCTTGCCTTGTTCCTATCATGGATATATCATATATCTATATATATGTATCTGTATTTTCACTTGATTTGTGAACATTCAACATAAGCAGTGTTTTTCCCACTAGGTCGAAAACTGAATAGTAGTTCTTATTTTTGATATTTTAATTTATCATGGGGAAAAAAAGGTAACAAGATGATCTGTGACACTAGTTCCCTATAGCTCTACTCTAACCTGTGTTATTTTTCTCCCAGATTTAAAATGCAGAATTAACTTGTAGTTTAACAATATAAAAACAGTGAGATTTTGGATTTTTTTTTTCTTTTGTGTAAATTAAAACTATTGGACCAGACACATCACATACAGCATCTTTGAGCAAAGCAACATATGTAGCCATGTTTCATATGTGACATGTACACAGGGTTTCTAATGGATGTTAATATGCTGAGATTAGCATATTTCTTTTCTTTGCTAGTAAGTTGGTTGTGATAGTAAATATGAGTTGTAAATGTGCTTCTAATTGGAAAAAAAAACCCAAACAACAAAGCACCAAAACTTCTCTGCTGTTTTATTTCTTTAATTTAGAGGTTAGTGCTTTATTTCCTGCAGGCAGCAGGGATAATGAAAGAATGGAATGAATGTAGCATGAGCATGCAAACCAAATTCAGCTTAACAGACCTTATCACAGCCTCAGAACAAATTTCTAAAAATACCTTACCTTACCTACAGTCCTATCAGTAGTTCAGCAACTTTGCAGGGGAAACATCTCAAACATGCAGTTAAACCGATTTTAGTATATTTCATTGTAACTTTTAGATAGAAACTCTTACCTAGAGAATAACATTTGTGCCATCTATTTTCTACTCTGTCCTCGTAGGTTGTGATAGTGACACAGACTCAGAACTGCCTTTCAAGATGCGTGACTCCCATAAAGATGACAGGTCCTATCGAAGGATTTCTGTAATTGAACCAAAACCTGCTACTGACTTCAATCGCTTCTTACCCACTAAAAACAAGCAGCCAGCATATATGCCAGCACCCCTAAGGAAGAAAAGAACAGAGAAGAATGAGGACAACAGGAGGAGCTGGGCAAGCCCTGTCTACACAGAGTCAGATGGCACATTTTCAAGGTACTGGTGTGTGCAGTCTTTTTAAAGCAAAATTTCATTTATATTTGTAACAAATGTTTTCTGTATTAGTTAATGAAAAAAAGCTGCTATTGCTACAATTGAAAGTAAAATACTCTGTTTTAAGTGAAGGGAGGGGCTGCTGTGGTTGTACAGGTTTTTTTTTTTTTAATTTATTTTTTCCTATTTTTTGTCTGCTTGACTTTCTTCTACTTTACTCAAAAAACAGAAAACTAGTTGTGTTGATGTTGGTCAGACTTGATGCAGAGAGGATTTAAATGATCTTAAGTCTTGAATGAGCTAGACATACAGCTTTAGTATATCATTAAAGCTTTCCAAACTGTGGTGATGAATTTCTCTTGTCAAATTTCTTAGTGTGCACACTTGAGATTAGTGGGCAGTTCTTGGGTTTCATCTTGTGTGACTTCACTGTCTTCATTCTGTTCCTGTTTTGGTCAACCTCAGTGGACGTGAAAGGAATCCCATAGCTTCCTGCCAAAATAGCAGAGCAGAATGTGGGCTTACAAATCCAGCTTCCCTACAGATGATCTATGAGTATGACAGTGGCTCTGATTCAGAAGATGGAAAAAGGATGCCTGACGTGGTTAAGGATGACTTAGCAAAACGTAGATTTCTTGTCCAAAAGAGCCCTGTAAGCTCTACTGCACCTGGACATCATTTCATGTTGCGCAATGACTCTCCTAAATCTTGCTCACAAGAAAACTATTCGGCTGGTCCACTAGCTGCAGTGCTTGAACCACTGAGGTCAGAGATACTAATCCAAGATTGAGTAACTGTTTTATTACCTAAATTGCAGTCCATCAATAACTCAAAGTTAGCCTTCTAATCAGCATTTTAACAGAGGTGATAGATTACTGTGCCTTTTCTGTCAACATTTTGTCAGATGTGATAGGATGCCGATATAACAATTTAACATTCTTTTTGTTATTATTTCTGGTACTGCAGTGATGGAATTGAGAACTAATTTGCTTCATTCACAAGGTTTGATCTCCTGAGCCAAAAAGCATGTGTTTTTTTTTTTTTTCTTCTTTTTGTCAAGTTGCTCTTAAAATATCTTAACTGATTGGGTATTTTGAACAGTAACCAGAGGAGACAGAGGCAGTTGGATACTAAAGTGGAAAACAAACCGGGAATTAACATTTCTCCAGAATTATCTGGGTATTTTGATGAGGATGAGGATGAGGAAGAAGAAATAGTCATCCCAAACATTGAAAAAGATGATCTCTATTTTCGCAAGCTAAGTTCTTCAGCATCAAATACAGTGGTTCCTTTTGACAAATTTCTTCCTAAGTTTTGGACTCCAGAAGAAGAATTGCTTTGGAAAAAAATCAGGAAATCCTCTTTCAAACCCTGGTATAAAGAGATTCAAGGGTTCAGGTGCGTTTTTATGCATGCCCTTGTTTCTCTCCTGTGTGTGAAACTTCTTTTTTTTTTTTTTTTTTTTGGAGGAAAATAATTGAAATATTATTTTCAGTACAACTGTTGCACTGTTGACACTATGCATTTTACTAAATGCATACACTTTTTTTTTTCTTTCCCTCTGTTTTCTTGTGCTGCTGTACAGTAGAAAGAAATCAGATTCTGAGGATATGAATTTTGCTTACAAACAAAGCTCTGCCATTGTTGCTAACCAGCCGAGACCAAGTTTTGAATGGAATAGCAGTAGCAGAAGGGATCAAAACTATAAGCCAACTGCTGAATATATGGGAAGCTCATTGTCACAGATTACAGAAGGAAAAATCTTGGAGGCTTCTGACCAGCCCAGGTTCATACCACTGCATGAGCTGTACTCTTGTTGCATCAAAAAGAAGTGTCTGGATATGCAACAGCTAAATGAAATTAAACTGCATCCTGTAATGTCGTGCTTCTTTTTTTATTATTATTACTTTTTTTGTTGTTTTATTTTTTACTATAGCTGTAGGTTGCTGGTCATCTTCTGAAAATTGTAAATGTGAAAGGATAACATGATTTATGGGGTTTCTAGCTTTGTCTGTGAGCATGCAAGTGTGCTGTTTATTGGCAAGTCAGTATGTCTTGTTACCTTTACATTGGTTGATGTGCACTGTGCTCTAGTTAGTGGTGATGAATGCCAAGTGGTATAATTGTACTGCTCAGGATACTGCAAGTCTAAAACAAATGTATATCTCAATACATTGTGATCTGCTTGTTTTTTGCTAGTTAATGATATTTTACTTCCTTCCTTTTGTTTTATATGCTTCAGTCAGTTTTTGTTACTTCAGGCCCTGCAAAAATACTCTGACTACTTGTCTTCTGAAACGAAGACCAAAATTGATCCTACTTCTGGCCCTAGGCTCATAAAATGTAGAAAGAATATTTCCTTTATACCAGGATGTGATGATGAAGGAGATGCTGAAAATGGATATCCATACCCAGATCTAGAAAACGATGACTTGTTTGTTCGCAAAACTGGGGCTTTCCATATGAATCATGTTGTTCTCCAGGACCCCCAGTATTTCAGAAAATTCTCTGAGCAGGAGCCTCCTCTAGAGGGTGAAATAATTCTGCAACCTCGGGAAGGCCAACCTGTGATTCCAGATTTGGAAAAAGATGACATGATATTTCGTAAAATCCTCTCTCAGAAAAAAGAAGTGCCTTTATCAGGTGCTCCTGACAAGTACCACCCTGCGCTCTTTCCTGATCCTTGGAGTCTTCCAGAAGAAATCCGGTCCAAATTTCTGTGTTTACTTGAAAAAAATTCAATGCCTGAGGAAAGAAAAAGGAGTGGTAGAGTGTTGTCGCCGTCTTCCCGCCATAAGAGGGACGATATGCTGGCACGCAAGATTGAGTCTTGGAAAGTGGGAAGCAACATGCAGCCAGTAAATTTTATCCCAGGTCCATGCAGTGAAGAAGACTGGAAGAAGTGGGAAGCGATCAGGGAGGCCAGCAAAGTTAGACATAAGAAACGTCAGATGGTGGAGAGGTCAGGTTGTGTCCTGCACGGATTTGCTTGAGTTAATTGAACTGTTTCTGTTCAGACAAGCATTGTCTTGTGCTAAGCCATTCATAGAGTACAAATCTGCAGTTTGTTTGTGTCATTCTGGACAAGCTTTTTATTTGCTTTCAATAGAAGCTTATGACTGCAATACCATATTTTCAACAAAAAATATGATGGTTTTTGTAGTTTCAGATTGTTTCCGCAATTCCAGAGAAAATGCACAATAGTTTCTTCATACAGCTTTATATGGATTTCTTTCCATGCCTGAGCAAGAATACTGATTATTCAAAGGGCTACTGGGGGGTAGGATTTTTTTTTTCCTCACAGTATAATTGGGAAAACCACTTCTGAGACACATGGATGCTTTCCATGACAAACTCTGGAGGTGAACATTATGATATTATTGCTTGCACCTGCGTTTAAAAATGCTTATAAAATGTCTTATTACAGTCCAGAGATGTTTCCAGAGGTTAAAAAAATATTAGTATTCCTTTGCCCATCCAAAATCATGATGCATGCAAGGTGTGCATCCACATAATTTTTAATTCTATGGTGGCATATTTATTCTACCAATATTTTCCTTTGCTTTCATATCTTATATAGTCCTAATTAATACTTTCCCCTAATCCTTTTTTTGGTATATGCCCACTTTTCTTCTCTGACTGAAGTCTTTTTTAAACACCTACCTAACTCTCCTTCAGATTTTGTATTTTGGAAGGCTGGAGGGGTTTGAATGTTTCCTTAGCGCTGAAAATACGGCATTGCAAGTTGCAGTTCCACCAGCTGTGCCTTCTTACTTTGTGGCTAAGATACTTATGTGTTGCAAATAGTAGTTTGATGTCATCATACTTAATTTTTAAACTTTATGCTGTTAACAAAGTGCAGGCTTCACTGAGGAATATTTCTAAAGCACTTGAAATAATTTCACATTCTAAGCATTAATTCAGTAGAATACTCATATTCAAGAATACTAAAAATCCTTGAATCGCACGGAATGTGTATGATTCTATGCTTAATGTGTGAAAGTATATATAGGGCGTTTTATCAATTGCATATATAACTTGTATTTAGCATCAGAGATGGCTGAATAAGCAAGGAAACAGCCTTTGTGAGCCAGGCTTCTTGTTAGGACTCAGGTTGACTTTAACTTTCATTTCTTGAAATGAGTATTTTTCCAAACGTTGTGCTGTTTAGCAGCACTGGAATAAGTGATGCAGAATTAAAACAAGGCTCTATTCATGCTGTATTTTTAAATTGGAAGCATTGAAAACTTACAGGCAGCCTTGTTTTGTCAGTTTTATGCCTGATTTACACATCATGCGAGTCCTGATGTGCTTCTGACTTGTGTGAGATCGCTAATGTGCTACTCCATGCTGGCTGATCCGCAGGCTTTCACGGTTTCCCCTTCACTTATTGAGGGTGTTGGTGTGCTGCTCATATGAATGTTGTTATGAGTATCAAACAAAACACTGAATCTTTTCTCTTTTTTTGGTTTCTAATTTCTCAGACTGTTTCAAAAGCTTTCTGATGAGCAAGGGTAAGTTCATAAAAGCTTGAAAGATCATGACGCTATTTTTTGCCTTGTTTAAATTCGCATGCATGCACTGTAGCTAAAAACTCATGCTAGAAGCAACTTGTGCATGCTGCTTTGTTCTGTGCTTGAGCAATTTACATAACAAATAAAAGACTAAAAGCTATGTATCTGGTAAAAGTCCTCAGACATCTAGGATTGTATTAGTTATGGTTATCAGGCATTTTGAAAATAGCTCTGATATTTTATTCTATCTGAAGTACATGGTGTTCTATATTTAAATCGGGCTCTAAAGCATTCAGGTAATGTGAAGCAAGATCAGTAAATATTTCTTTTCAAAGACAGCACAGTTAGAATCCTGAAAGTAGTTAATGACCTGCACGTGTATCATGGGAATGACTGAAAAATCTGTCATTTTGAAATAGATTGCAATACAATATCAAATGATTCCCAGAGTAAAAACTGCAACTTAATACATTCCATTGATAGTTTTTATGAGTGTCAAAATCATTTGACCTGCTGTTTATTACTTCGCATTGCACATCTTGACTGTGATGGTAATACCAACTCTAGTAAGACTTGAGAATTATTTTACTTAACTAATTTGTTCTGACAAGGTAACAGTTGAACCAAAGTAAATAAGTAGATAAATAATGTGAACAGAGTATTCTCAGGGTTATGTGTCTAAAGTTTTTAATAAAAGTGGTGGGCTTTCTGAATATTTTATGGTTTTTTTTAGACATGCAATTATTGTATTCTCAGTGGTGAACTGATTGGTTAGTGCCATGTTAAATTATGGTAACTTACATAAGCTTGTTTACAGCTTACTGTGGCTCAAAGAGAAATTTTCAATTTACATGCGTGATGGCATGTGAAGTATTTAGTTAAGTATGGTACTCTATATTTTCTGAAGAGGAAAGAAGAAGTAAACGTATAAATATGAATATGTGTTTATATGTTTATTCATCTGTACGTTTTTTTCACTCAGAGGCAAAAACTGGCAGATGACTACAGGCTGCCAGGAGAAACAAAAAATTCCTGAAGTTAGATGTCAGTGAAGGGAGACTCAGTTACTTGTTAAATCTTTGAAGTTAAGAGTAGACTAGAAACTAACGTGTACCTTTAATTAGGTTATATTTTATTTGGGTCTAGATTTTCCTAATTTACTTCAAGCAGGCATAGAAATTCAAGTGCAGGTATAGAAACTCAAGTAAAAAACAAGGAAGTCCTTGTCATGTAAGTTTTCTTTAGTGAATTTGGGATGGTGTAAATGCTTACCCTAAACCATTTCTATATGCGATATGACTTAACTGTGAAAGAGAACTGCAAAAGAAAGAGTTTCTGCAAAAATGCCCTTTGGATTTTTGCTATATTTGGCATTCTTCCCATTCAGAAAATAAACAAGCAAACGGGGATAATGAATTAATGCCCTAGACTTTTTTTTTAGAGGCCAAAGTCTGAAGTCTTATATTATGAATATAAGTAAGTTGGGCCTCTTGGGAGGAAGTGAAAGAGACTGGTTTGTTAATTCAGAGCTCTCTTGGTATGTGGGAGATTAGAGCAAGGCCCTGTGCTGAATCACTTTAACCTGCTTTTCTGTTGTACCAAGAAGCACTGCAGTGTTGAGTTGTACTAGAACTTATCCTAATATCTTTCCATCCCTTAAATTTTGTCTGGATAAGTACAAATGAAAGTGTTTTGAGGAAAAAAATAATCTGAAGTCTACCTTTCCTTTTGTATTATAGCACAGAGCCTTATGACAAAGCATATGCATGTTACTTGATGTCTCACAGATTTGAGGTCAAATATGAGTAGGAGTCTTGTCGTACACTTGAACAAAAAGATCTTTTATTCTGTTTAAATGGATGAACAAGAGAGACAACTGCAAAGGCTGGAAGAGAGGTGTATTGGGAAGGAAGTGAATTTTGAGGAACTGAGGTTGCAGTAAACTAGTAAGTAGGAGTTTGTGGGCAAACTTGCTGACATGTAAGAAATTACTGAGGTGATGACTGTAGACTTTCCTAACTTAGACTGCAAGTACCAAAGAGATTTGAGAAGGAGTGGTAGGCTAGTGGGGCCTGTAACATGATTGAGCTGGGTACTTAACAGTAAATCACTTTTCTCTTTTAGCAATGTGCATCAATAACTGAGCTGATTTTATGATTGTTCTAAGAAATGAAAGAATAGGAGAAGATTCGAAGGCTGTTGCTGAAGAGGAAAAGTGAAATGGAAAGTTTGGCTTTGGGGAGTGGGGAAGGCTTTTAGGGAAAAGAGATAAGCAAGGTCAGTAGAGTAAGAAGTTTAAACAGTAGTAGTAGGTATAAAGAATTATATGTAAATCATCAGCGAGAGGCTAGTTATTTCCTTAATCTGAATTTATTTGCTCAAATATGCAACTACTGACTTCAGTACTGGCAGTAGGTCCCAACCCAGTCTTACTCATTCAGCTGCCTGTATATTTCCTGCTCTGTTTAAAATAACACTTAGGAATGCTCAGTTGTACTAACATAAATCTCCCTCTCTTGAAGGTTTCACTTGTGAAACTTGTGAACGTAGCTGAGATGTTATAAAGCTGAATATTCTTTTTACTTTTTGATTTCTAGGAGTAAATCTTTGAATGATGTCAGTGCAGAGGAACAGCAGACATTGCGCAAAATTCGTTATGAAGAACTACAAAAGATAAAAGAACAGCTGCAAGAGCAAGATCTAAAGTGGCAAGAAGTAAATACTTGTTTTCACCCCACCTGATATGTCCTGCCAAGGGGCTGGATGCTGCTGCCAACATTTAGTATCCCAGAAAACTGGTTTTGGCATGTGTGGTAACTCATGTGGTTGTGCTCTGAATTGATGCATTTCATGCAATTATGAGTGTTTTTTGGGGGGAGGGGAATATCTATTTAAGGAAGAATTGAATTTATTTTTAATATTGTTACAAGTTTCTGATCAGTGTTTCAGGATATGATTTGTATATAGTGTGATATCACAGTAAAGTCTGCAGGCTTGATTTCTGCTGACATAAGATTTAGGACACGGTTTCATATGTTGTCTGAAATTTGCAAATGCTTTTTTTTTTTTTTTTTTAATGAAATGTTTGGAATGTCTGAGTACTTGATCCTTTGGGAAAGGAAGGAAATAGTATTTCCTTGAGCAAATTCTTGAGGCTCCTATTCCCCAGTAATTCTGTCTTAAATTTAGTGTATAAACTGACATGATAACATTGCACAGCATGGTAAGGTTATCTGAAGACCTTTACTTTTCTTTTTATTTTTAATTAAAATCTGTGATTGCTAATGATTACCAAGTAGAGGTTGAACTTAAAAACAGAGTATTAAGAAAGCACTTTATTGCTGTTTGTTTAGTGCATTTAGTACTTCCTTAGCTAGCTCTGGTATTTCATGGAAAAGATTGCCAATTCGCATTGTGGTTTTACAGACATAGGATATCTATTTCTATGGGTTTTTTTGTTTGTTTTCAATTTAGAATTTAAGATGTGTTTATTCTCAAGCTAATGTATCAAGGTAACGTACTGGCAATTTAAAAATTTAAATGATTAAAAAAATCCCCACATCCAAAGCCTAACAATAAATTCACATGCTATCATATTTGTTTTCAACTATGTGTAATTGTGTGATGTATTTTAGAGCAAAAAGGGGGAAAAAAAAGCACACTTACCAGTTAGAGGAAAAGTGCATGGGAAAAATGGCCTTGATACAGACATACAAGTAAAATTAGGGCACTAGATAGCATGTGATGGGATGTTTCTATGGGCTTGCAAGATCTTGAGAAAATCTGATTCTATACACTCATGTGACTCCTGTAGGATCTAGCAAAGTGGAAGAATCGCAGAAAGAGCTTCACTTCAGAGTTGCAAAAGAAAAAGGAAGAAAGAGAAGAAATAGAAAGGAGAGCCTCTGAAGTTTCTGATAGGAGTAGCAAGCCACTGAAAGAAATGCAGCAGGAAAGGTAATTACCCTAATGGGAGTATTAAATTGTAGAACTTAAATCTGACTTTTATTTTCCTTTTAATTCTTCAATGGTTTTTACTTGCAAGTTGCAATTGATGCTTTAGAAATCTCAAAAGTCTTAGTTCCAAATTATAGTCTAAAAATCTAGGCAATTGAACAGCAAAATATGGTCTCCTAACACATTGTTTTCATAGAATATTAAACAGTTCTGCTCTGTAACTGATTCTTTATTCCAGCTATCAATGAATGTGCTGTGAAGTCAGTATTTGTCTCCACTTTAAGAAGTTTAAAACAATAGAAAATTAATGTAATTAATTGCCTTTTTATTTTTGGATTAGCTTAACTATTTCTCTTTCCTCTTACGTTTTATTTGCCATTTTCTTTGTAACACGGGATAAGTATAGCCAGAGCTGTTATGAATTTCACAGAACTGTAAACTTCTTTACTTGTTTTCCTCTTTATCCCCAATTGTTCCTCTAGGTATTTACAGAACAAGACTCTCTGAAGAGAGAAAAGTGCAAATTGAGTATTGCAGTACTAAATGATTCCTTTTTTTTTTTTTTTTTAAGTGAGTGAATAGCTGAAGTGAAGGAAATATGCACATGGCATATATTTATAAAGAAAGCTTAAGGGTATCTTAAAATAATATTTTGACTTATGAGGACAGCAACTGTAGTCTCTTGAAGGAAAATATGGGTTCAAATTGTATTGAATGTCCAATATTGCCAACATCTTGAATTTGAAAATTACATGGTAAAGATTATCTCTTTAAATGCTGCTCATTTGTGATGAGAACAAATAGCAAAAACATAAATAAAGAAAAACACCTGTAATTTGTTATCTGAAGTGCAGTATGGCATTTTCAGAAAGCAGACACCCCAACATAAGTATGTATGTAGTTCAGGTGGCCTTCACTACATCCTCTTCTCGACAAAATCAGAATTTCTGAGAATGTGCAATTTGAATAGCTCAATTTCTTTATTTCTTTATTTTTACAAAGAGATTGCTGTCTTGGTGGCAGTCTTTTGGTTTGATAGTAATATGCCTCAGTATTATGGAAGTGTTGAAAAATGGGTGGGTGTGGGTGAGGAGATGAACTTGAAATACATTAAAAAATTAATATTTTTAAATAATGCTATTCATTTCAATTTATCAGAGATGTGTTTCTCAGTTTATGCTCTGTTATGAACATTTAGTAGTCAAAAGCCTTAGGTCCTACCTGTCCATCAGTTCACTTTGGTATTTTAATGAGTTCTGTCTTGCAGGGAACAAAAATATGATGGCAGATGGGTGTATTCACTGACTGATGATGTGTTTACTGAAGAAAAAGCACCTACCACACGATCAACAGTGAAAGATTACCTGTTTGAGGAAGAAACCTCCTACAGCACTAAGGACAGCAAAAGCCAGTATGCTGCTCAGAGAAGCAAGGAGAATCTACCAAAGCCAGAGAGCTCTGCCACACGTGAGGCTCCTGCTGTCTCAAAGAGCCTGGCGGAAGAGCAGAGCTCAGCTCTTTTGTCTACGCGCTACTCGGTGAATGCTCAAACTGGGTCAGCTCAGGTTTCAGCTTCTCTCCCTAGAAGTTACCAGAAAACTGATACCTCCAGGTTAACATCTGTGGTTACACCAAGACCTTTTGGTGTCCACTCCAGAGGAATCTCCTCACTTCCACGGTCGCTCACGGTAAAATTCTTTAGTTCTGAAATTTGTAAATGTTGAGTGTCTTAGATGGCTGATTGAACAGTAGAATGTAATGATCTCCTTAAAAACAAAACAAAAGGCTTTCTGCTTTTTGTTGAAGGCTGTATTAACAGAGTAGGCAATTCTGTCCTTGTGTTAGATATTTACTCGTTTTTATGTCCTTAAAGGAGCTTCTAGAAATATGTCTAAAAATATTTTTGGTGGAATAATCTTTTTATTACTTTTAACAAATCTCCTTATTGTTCCTTATCAAAAACTTGCCTTTCTCTGATGTAATTGTCTGAAATGTCTTTAACAATTATGTGAAATTAAAATTTTCAGTTGATGTAAATTTCTTTGGCTCTACTGACTTTGAAACTGAATCTTTACTCCAGCCTAGAATTTGCCTGCTCAGTAATGCACTGAGACACAGAAATTGTTCTGATATTATTAAATTATTATTTTAAAAGTGGGTAATTACTAGTGGGTACATTACTAAGTGTAGTGACTAGTGACTAGAAGCTGCGTGAAAGGGAGGAGTATTTAGTTAAATATTTATACTGCTGAAAGATTAAGGACTTTTAAAAATGGTTTTTACCAAACTGTCATTTTTGTTCTAGATGGATGATGCTCAGAAATACAATGGAGAAGTGGAAAAAGCTAAAGGAACTCAAATTTTAACCAGCAACATGTTTTCACTACCAGACTCTACATACTCTCTCTCCACCAGTGTACTCAGAAGGAGAGGTGAGGAGGAAGAAGAGGAAAAAGAAGGTGTTAAGTCAGCACCTACTCCTAGTTTGACATTACCTGTAAAATCACAAGACCGAGATGCTGGAGATAGTATTCTTAAACCAGAGTATTGTTCTCCTCCTGATTCTGTTTCACTTGCATCTTCTGCAGAAAATGCGAGTCTGACAGAACATGACGATTCAAAATCCCAGGTAAGTGTGGAAATCACTTAATCACTTAGTGTAACTGGATGCTGCAGCAGAGTTTAAATAAATAAATGCCGTTATACCTCATGCAAATATTCTTTAGTGGTAAGAAAATATTGCATTTGATTTAATTCACAGGAAAGAGAATTTGGGAAGAACATATAACTGGCTCTTCTCTTGAGCTCTTTTCCTATTTTCTACCTGTCCTATGCTTTTATTTAAAAATAAAATTAGAAATAAAATTAGTTATTCTAAATATTCGGTTTGATACCTGTGAGATTTCTGGCACTTACCCAATTAGCTAATTGTGCTCACAATGAGGCATGTTGATTAGGTGAATGGCCTAAGCTGCTGTAGCATTCATTTGCACTTTTAAGCAAACTGGTGGTGGAAAAATAAAGATCAGCTTTTCAAAGGCTAGCCTTAAACATTAATATCACAATGTTCTTTTTTTTCTTTACCATCAATTGTGACTTAAGCCTTTTTTTGTTTTTGTAACTGTATACTTGAAATTATTCTAATTGTTATTCACACTGAATTTAAAGAGAAATCACCACCTTTTGTACACGCTTATCCAGGAGCTGGTTCTTTCAGTGCTTTGGTTTATATATAACAATGCTACTTCAAGTGATCTCATATCACACTGGAAAATGAACAGGAATAGCTTTAATTGTCACCACCTTTCTGCAATCTGTATTGATGCCATTTACACCCAATGACAAATGAAAGATGAGTTCTTTGTATTCCTGATGTTGCTGTGAAAGTGAATTGTCAGTAGCTTTAGTGGAGATCATAAAACCTTGGATGCTGATCACTGAAATCACTTCACACACCATCTTTTTGTACATTCAGTCACTTTGAATCATCCTTCCCAATCACCGGTGGAAAAAGGAATGCTTTAATATTACTGATACTCCATAGCAATTGCAATGAAGTTATACTTTTCTGAAACTGATTTTTGAATGAGGAAAGAAATCATGACTGTTTTCTTTTTTCTCTTTTATATTGTAGTAAAAACAGGCAGAGAAACTGCAGTTCTAATCAGTGAAAGCATAGTTTAGATACAGGTTCTTTTCATCACTTCAAATGAGAGCAAAATGTACTAAATTCTTTTTTTTTTTTTCCCTCTATGATTGGTCACAAAGATATTAAATGTCCTGCCTGTAAACGAGGAATGTGTTTAACCAAAAAAAAAAAAAAAAAAAAAAAGCTGCTTGTGTAGTGCTTCATACAAGCTATAACTTAAGGAATGCAAGTTTTATTTGGCACGTTTGTAAATCATTGCCAGAGGTGAGAAATTGATATAGTTCACTAGGCAATCTAAGCAGTAATGCCAGGTTTGTAAAGTACTAAGTGTCTTGGAGATGACCTGTCCAAATTATGAAGCTCAGTATGCAAAGTTGCATTACTCTTCCAACAAGGTAGGTTTGAAAAAGAGCTTTGTTGGGGTGGTGGAAATAAAAAAAATAATGATTGTAATTTCCAGGAACACACTCAAATTCGGAAGCTTTCTACATGCTCCAGCCCACTGTGCTCACCTGTCTGTAAAATACCTGTGAACATGTTGTGTTACTTGTTTAAGGAGTTGGTAGGAATAGAAAAAAACAAGGTCTATTTCAGTGTGGAAGCTTCTGCAAGCTAGGAGCTCTATTTATGATAGGACAAGGGGAATGGTTTTAAACTGAGACAGGAGAGGAGGCTTAGGTTAGATATTAGGAGGAAGTTTTTCACTTAGTGGGTGGTGACACACTGGAACAGGTTGCCCAAAGAGGTTGTGGATGCCCCATCCTCTGAGGCATTCAAGGCCAGGCTGGATGTGGATCTGGGCAGCCTGGTCTGGTGGTTGGCAACCCTGCACATAGCAGGGTGTTATTTAAACTAGATGATCATTGTGGTCCTTTTCAACCCAGGCCATTCTATGATTCTGTGACTTGATAGTTTCAAGGGTTGTGAAAAGGAGTGTTTTGGCATGAATTTACCTGTAACATAAGGATAAACCTCAGATTTATTGCCTTGAAATTCTGCTGTCTTCTGCATCCGTTACTTGGATACTTCAACAGCCTCCCCTGGCTGCTTCCTGTCCTGAGACTCCAGCTGCTCTCTGGTGCTTTGACCAACAGAGAAGCCTTGGGGAATGGAGTACGAGTATAAATTTATAAATATTTGCAGTTGGAGAAAATGAATCCTATCCTTTCAGAGGATTAGTTCACTAGGTGACTAAAATGTAAATGTACACTTAGTGCATGTGCAAGTGTGTGGGGTCTCTTTGGTGTATGCATTACTGGAATATATTTATTGTTTTTGACAGAAATCTAAAGTATTTTTTCCTTTTATAACAGTATCAATTTCTTTTTAATGAAGTGAATAGCGTGCATTTGGATACTTTAATTGTTTTTTAATGAATTCACATTAAAATGTTAATGTATGCACCACATGTTTGTAATATATTGTGAGATTGTACGCAAGCGTTCCAAAATATATTCCAAGTTAAACATGTCTGTAGTTTAAAATGTAAATGTCAGGTTTCATTCTGGTTTTGAAAGCATCTTGAAATTCCACTAGATTGGGGAAAACTGGATTTTAGCTAATTTTTGGATTACTAGGTTCTCCATAACAAAATCTATGGATAACTTGTAGCGTTTGGCACAAAACTAAAAAGTTGATTGTTCACCCAAGTAAATCTAGCTACAACATTGAGCCTGAAGGATACTGATGATGGTTTGGCTTTTTTTTCTATACTTGTATTTTACTGATGATCTGTCAGGAGGCAGTGAATTCCACACATTTACAAGGTGGTCCATAGCGACCCATTTAAATGTTTTAATTTCCTCATGCTATGTTTTGTAGCATCATTTTATGAAGCATTTGAAATGAGAAATGTATGGCTAAGTTTATTCTAAGTGAACACAAAATACAAAAGAAAACTGAAAACATCCATTTGAATAAAAAACAAACTAGTTAGTTAACAGAGTTCAGTGCTGTTTCCTTTGTCAGTGATGCTAATAATAGATGATTAAAGTGCACATTGTGAGTCGCCTTGCTTATTTAGTGGATAAACTTTCCCTCATTTAGATTCCTGTGATACCAGATACTGTAGTGTCATGTTTTATTTTTCAGGAACAGTACAGTGAATTGAGAATCAGTATGAACCAGAGACCTGGCTACAGTCACAACTTTGGGTTTACAACAAATTGGACTTCTTCAGGGGCCTTAGTACAGACAGTTGAAGAAGGTAAATGTCTATTTAACTGTACAACTGTTCATTCTTGTATTTAGTTTGCAAAGGCTTCTGAACTGTGTACTTGCTGTATGCTACTAATGTCTCAAAAACCTCAGGTGGGCAATTGAAAAATTAATTTTTTTTACTCGTTTATTTCGGTCAGCCTTCATCTCTTCAAATAGATTTTAGTCAGAATATCAAAAGGCATTTTCCCAATCAATAATGTTTTTATGTCATGGAAAAGGTATAAATGGCTCCTTTCAGCTTATTTTTAAGATTTCCTCTGTATGTATTTGTAAAGGAATTGAATTGTAACTTGGTTGGGAGTTAGTATTTTTATTTTACCTTAGTCACATTGGATTTTGGAGACAGCTGATATTTTT